TCGCTAACAAGATGAGTTAACTTCAAAGAACTAAGAACGTACTCTATTTCAAATGAAATGAAATCAAGACAATGGAATGACGTTATCAGCTCTTAACAAACCTGGGCATATCTGAAATTACGTGACTTGAAATATTATTTGAAATAATATGTTACTTGTTTTATAATTAATTAAACACCTGCGATCACTTTTATAAAGTATAAAATTTTACTTCTCATTAAAATTATAAGTGAACATTTCTTTTTAATTTTACACTTTATAATCTGAAAATTATTTTTTTGTAAATTGTATAAAAAATCAATCTGCTTATTTCAAATAACATATTATTTTATTTTATAATTATTTGAACAAATTATTTGAAGTAATTGTGACAGCCTTCTTAGAAGTTATATTGTCAACCTCGTTGATGTTTTTGCAAGATACGAGTGACTATGTTAAATGATTATAAGAAGCATTTTTCTGAAGAATAACACTCATTATATCATATTAAATAATATTTGCTTGAAACAAGTTGCTGTAACGATTTCTTAAAGTATCTTTTTGTTGCATATTACTTCAAAGATTATATCTTTATGAAAAGAGTTTCGCTTGAAGCAAATTGATGGAGAGGTTTCTCCAAATCAAATCTTTTGTTGTATGTTATTTCGTAGTTTCATTTCAAATAAAATTTGCCCAGGTCTGTTCTCTAGGAGCAGTTTCGGGTGAGCGAAGGCAACAAGTACTAAACGTCTGTAATTCGTTATTACCAGACAAAATCCCTATCAATTCTGAATCTCTACTACAGAAATATCTAAACAATTCTCCCGTGAAAAAAGCTTTCTGCTCATTATCATTTTACCTCTCATGGAAAGGATTTATATGGAAACTCAACACTGCTCGTACAAATTAAACGAATTTCATCAAGAAAGTAGGGAGATTCGCTCTTGATTAGACCTTGTACTTTGATGCTCCTGTTAGGAACCATTTTTCTATACAATAATTGCAGAACACCTCTCAGCGATTCGTGTTACCTGAGGTGAAGACCCTAGAGGCTCCTAATCTTTACCACGCGAGCATGTACTATGTAAAGTTATGCTGAATACCTAGTTACTAGGAAGATGGTTCCAGTCGATTTTAGTTACATCGAATTATTGGCATGTTACAACATCGTTTGATCAAATGCAAGTGTCGTAGGGTCTATCAAGAATTCGTGTTGCAACTACGTGGAATTCCTTGGTGTAAGTCTGGGTAACTCATTTGCGCCGGAACAAGTGCACTCTCATTGTCGATTGTTCTGGAGCAAAGCCAGGAGTAATTGTGCAACAGCTACAGTGTAGTAGTACCACCAGTTCGTTTAATCTTGTATTTTCTCTAGACACATGTGGTTTCTCACACATAGGTGGAAGTTACTCTATCTTTGAATAGTATAAATTATAAAAGAAGTTGACAGAGACGAGATCGTTAACTGTGTCTATTAGAATTTCTTAATGTACAAGTCGACTGGCAGAACATTGTCTTAGTCTACTTTCGAAGTAGTTTTGGATTTTTGTAACGCGGATGCTTTCTTATCTTAGAAGTTACGATTTTTAGATGTGACCATTTTTGCCGATGATGAGAATTGGTATGTTCAAAAATAAGGTTAACTGACAGTAAAGAATATGGAGAAAATATTAGACGCCGATCTGATCCGCATTCGTTTGCTTAATCAACTTATTATCTTAGCACACTAAGTCGTGTATGGTCACATTAAGCAATCAATGATACAAGATAATGTACTAATTACTAGTTATATTTAAAAAACCTTCTTCGTACAAATAATGCAAAATTTTTATCTGTATATTAATGTTGATATTGAAAGTATGATCATCATTGCTATTCAGATTTTTAATTTTGAAATTGTACGTATTGGAAAATTGTCAAGCCTTCGCGTTCTTCAGTGGTACTTTGCTTCTTGTTTACGTTACCATATAGTTCAAATTATAATTTTGTATTCAAACGTAACATTGTATCTAGAACTTCAAGGAAAACACAGTATATCACACGGATTTTGCTTCCAAAATGCTATGGTTCAAAGTTCTTATTCACATAATGTTTGTTCCGCTTTAAACATATATGACCTTCATTGAGCATAATATCTGGTATTCCAAAAATTAACGTGAGTGATAGTAAACAACATAACAATCAAAAATCTGGATAATAATACTAAAGAACATTTTTGTACTTAAAATGCTATTTTTAATGAAATTAAAATGTAAGATGTACTTTTGATCATAAAGGAGAAACACCGGAATTTCTAATTGGCACGATAATTAACCGATAAACAGGAGAGTAAATCACCAGTACATTAGAGGTTCAGAAAGCTGGGAATGTTGCAAATTACTTGCTGGGCTCTCTGATCGATCGACGTGATCTTATGCACAATTCTTAATCGCGCTGTTAACTGTGAGAGGCACGCGCTTTGATCTCAAACGCGCTTTATACACTTGCCTACAATGGGGACCACTAGTTCAGGAGTAGGATCATACCGTCGGCTGGCCTTTCGCCAGAATGCGACAGACGTTGTTGCCGGGTGTAATCAGTTGCCCAGACTTACGCTAGGAGCTCCTAATATCAATCCTAGCGGCTATTAGGCGCTTTATCCCAGTAACAAAACGAGTTATTGAAAGATTTTGAAAAATGCTACTCGAATTGAACTCAACAGTGTTGTTACAACAGCAGCGTGATGCTGCCATCAGTGTTGTTATACTACCGGCTGAACCGTGACGTCACTGACGTTCGGATCACGTGAGTAAGGAGTAGTTAGTGGGAGAAAGATTTGGCGACTACTACGCTAAGAGTCTTTCTCCCACTTTCTACTTCTTATCTCATTACGTGATCCGAACGCCGATTTAGCCGGCAGTATAACAATACCGGCTGCCACTGCCGCAGATGATCACTGCCTAGTAACTACGGTGGTGCTCCTCAAAGCCCAGGTGGTGCAGAATTCTTCTAGATTCTCGCAAGAACGACGACATGAGGCGTGTTTCGACGATCTCGTTCAAGATATGCGAGCCTGTAGGATCGTTCGCGCACACCGCAGAATAATATATAAAAACGAGCTGACCGTACGACATCACGACGACTGTCAATCAAATAACACTGCAGTCCACATCAAGTAACAATATTGAAATATATATATATAATGTATATATATAGATAATATATAAATAAGACGTGTGACGTCCAAGACCAGCGCATCGCAGGAAACGATTACGGGTATATGTATAAATATATATGTATATATATATATCAAGGTGGCATTCTCTGATGGAACACAAACAGAAAACGAAAGTATATAGAAACCAAGGCGAAAAACTGGGAACGACCGATCATATATGACACGAGCAAAAAGGTTTCAATCTGGCGATTCGTGCTCCTTGCTTGTTACGTGGCACCTTAAAACCGTCATAGGTCCAGGAGCCTAACTTCAAAACACAGGTCTGTACGTCGTATGGAAAGAACTCAACGTCGATGGAGCAGGAGGATTTATATACGGCCGGCGGTTGCCAGACGACCAATCCCGAATAGTAGACCGTGGCCTTGGTCATCAGCGTCACCTCGTAGTTCCCGTCGGCGCTGGAATCACCGAAGAAACGAGCCGAACGTGATCACGATTGGCTCCTCGAGACGAACAACCGGATGCTGCCATATTGAGACACTCTTACCTTCTAAGTCAAGACGATCAAAGATCCCGCTATTGCATCTTCTCGTCGACTAAAACCTTTCTTTCAACTTTTTGCCACAACGGTCCTTTCTCTAAATCGATCATAGACGTCGACGGGGACCCTGCGAGTTGGTCCCACAGGGATTTTTGTGAAATTCGGCGGGATATGTTCATTTCGTACAATATTTCGTTCCAATTCTAGCTTCCGTTGCAAGCACTTCGTATTCTACGCGTTTCCAAGGTCACCGATGACCAACGAATGAAATCGTGTAGCATGGTGGACCAATGAACGCGCAAATACACGGTGGTTTAGAACGCGGTTCTAGCTGACCAGAATCATTTTTGTCGTTATGTTTCCTTCTGTATGAATATGCATAGGTATTATATATGTTTTATATGGAAGTATTCAAAAATAAAAATCAGAGACTTGATTTAATTGCAATGCTTATATGTATTGTAATTTTACATTTATATATCTGCACACATTGTAGACATGTAATTTAAGAGTCGCATTGTTTTGTATGCAATCTACTTAATTGCAATATACTAATAATATGCAATCTACTCATTTTTCGGAAACAATTTTCGTTTTTATTTACACTAACAAACAGGTGAGAAACGATCATCAATTAGTACAAAAAAGTTGATAGAAAGAATTTGGCGTGAAGAAACTGATGAAAGAAATTAGTATAAAGAAATTCGTACGAATAGGTATGAATAGCACCACGTATACGAAACAGATAAGTATTTTAAACGTATAACCACGTAGAGAGGGAAATATAACGACAAAATCGTGTCTCTAGAATCGCGTTTTAGACCACTGTTTAAACCTTTCCATCTTTCGAAACGTATCTGTACTATTACAAAACGTGTACAAATACAAAGAAGTACAAAGAAATTCTGCTACCACAACAGATGCTTGACAACTTCTACTATCGTTAAGGATCTGTTTCGTGTAAAACTGAAACGCAATACTCTACGAAATCGCTTGTCCCACCAGATCTAACAAAAATCCCATACAGATCAAGCTATCCTGACAGAGTTATTTTCCAAAAAAAAATACATAAAAACCTGGCAGCATCCGTCTCCCAACGTAGTTCTCGACACCCATCATCAGTTCCGTTTGATCATGCAATCTCCAGAACACGATCCACCGAGTTCCGAAATCCACACGACGAGCCGATCGTTCTTTTTTTTTGTTTAGTCTATCCTTACTATCTAGATCGATCATCCCCGACGCATCACGATCGTTCGATCCACGTCGCGGAGGACCGGTGTATCTGTGGCAGGGAACTTAGCGGCTACCATGCAAGTTTACCTTGAAGCCGTCATAGGTCCACGAACCGAACTTGAGGACGCAGGTCTGCTCGTCGAATGGGAAGTACTCCACGTCGATCTCGCAGGATGACTTATAAATGGCGGGGGGCTTCCACTCGACCAATCCTTGATGGTAGATGGTGGCCTTCGTGGCCAAGGTCACCTCGAAGTTGCCGTCCGCGCTGCGAGCGAGCACATTAGTGGTTCTGGGCGCTGCGGCGGTCGAGCTTACTTTGTATTTCCAATTCGATACCAAGCCGTCATTTTTTTTCTGTTTTCGGTGATTTCTTTTCTTTTTTGATTTTCTCTTTGAATGAGTCTCAACGATGCCTTTCCAAACGAAAGCTGAGGTCTTTGAAAACATGTGCTTTTACACAGTGGCTGACGCGATCTATTTAGCGAACATGCGGAGAATCGTTACCGACGAATTCCCGACGAAAAACACGAAACTTGAGGACTATGTGCGCTGATATTGAAGTTTGAAATACTTCGTCTCGGGGGGTATTAAAATCTCATTTTATGAACAGGCTACGGAGACAATTCTGTCCCTTTATGAAAACGCTACTTTTATTCTGCAAATGTTCAGTGTCCAAATCTATTTTGTTTCTCGAATTCTTTACGTTCTTTTACATTGATTAGTAAAATTATTATTATTGAAGGTAAAAGGTCGCCCATCAATTATCCAAATCGACGAAAGAGTTAAAACTAGCTTGAAAACGGTCTTTATGCTAACAGGAATGTTCAATATTTTAGGAACTTCAAATGATTCGGTGAGTTTATTCATGTGATCAAACTACGTACCGCAGAACATATTATCTGTCTAGAGAGCGGCGTTAAATGATGGATTGGCTTTAAAAAAATCTGTCGACCCAGTTTTAGATGGGAAAATTTTTCACGTATAAACGAAATGATCGTCGAAATGAAACGGTGGCCAGAAACGAAACGAAACGATTTTTCCATTTGGAATTCGTTGAAATATTTACAACTTTATTTATGACAACTCGATTACTTTCCAAATAATTAACATTCCAAGTATGGTAAAAAATCTTAACAACACATCTTGAACAAAATAATTACATTAGATTGGTATACATAATGCAACGATTTAACAAACTAAATTGTCGCATGCTTTGGAAAACTATATGATGTTGAAAATTAAATTC